GTTACTTTGGGCCAAATGGACTATAAGGTCTGACAAATATAAATAACGAAACGTAGGTAATATAGTCCAATAATATTAGGCTAGTCTGGTAGTCTGGTTGGGTAGTTAACTAGTCATACTTGTTCAATCAGATGTATATGTTTTTAAACTATATAATCTTTGAAAATGCTGTAAATAAGATTATTATAACTTATAGCATAAGGATACATTTTATTGTTAAAAAAAAGACGGATCGACACTCTTAATGATTATATCGCATCATAAAATTTTTTTTGAATTTTTGCGTGTGTATATGTAACAAAGGTTGACTTAATTAAAAATCAGTTTGTTTTATAACAAAATCCGTGTTGAAAATTTAAAATTCTCTAAATGAACCTCAATAATCGTTGATACAAATTTTGTAGGGACGACATAATCAATAGACGGGTCAATCCGTTATAATATATACATATTTATACTATAAAATGTCATGCAATATTTAATAATATACATATAAGTTGAAAATATGATTATCTATTATTAGATTACTTCTAAAAACAACCTTACCGACTCGTAATTAGAGCAATGCAATGCTAACTTTAATTTCCAGTAAAGTCTCAATATTTCATTGACAGAAACACGTTTTCCATTGCTAAAATTATATAATTCATATTAAAAAAGTGTAGTTTAATATTTCTAGAAAAATATAAAAACAGTTATAATTGATGTATCCACTAAATTGATATATTTCATATTTTTTTGATTGGTTAGTCAAAAGACAAATTATTGCACCTCATTTTCCAGCTGAATGATTTAATCTGGTCAAACTAAATCATATCTTATCATTAATTAACCCTATATTATTTTATAATTAATTAATAGTAGAAAGATTATAGATAGGTTACTTTCATTTCATCCTATTTATTGAAATCTAATAACTCCATTAGACCGACATTTGCATGAAAGTCAAAATATGGGAGCGAGTTAGGTGACTTACCACGGGTAACTCCTAAATTGCACCTAAATTGAATTACTTGTTTGCTTTTAGATCAAGCCTCCTTTTTTATTTAATTCTATTTAATGTGAAAAACGTATAGAAGACAAATTCCGGATTATTGAAAATCCTTCAAAAAAATTTTGTAAGTTTCGATTATTGTAAATCCTTCGAAAAAATTTTATTGGCAACACTCAAAAAATGTAATTTTTGCATTTGAGATCAGAATCATTATTATAATATGTTTTCGAAAGCGGATTTCAATTAAACGGACCAAATTCCACAGTTGGTTGTCTACTGTAGAATGTTTATAATTTTTATTATTTTTTATTTATTTACTTTTCATTTAGAGTTATATACGATACTGAAACTAAGGACAGTTGAGATTTTTATATCGAATTTTGTAATGTAACTTTCTTTAGTTTGAAATATGTTCAAAATTCTACATTTTATTGTACGGTGTTATTATTTTCCTAAAATCTATATATATATAATTACTAGCTCTTCTGCATTTAATTAAACCTCATAAATTATACCTAGGTGGCATTTTCCCGCCAATTTCCGTTACTTTTCATTTGTTTTTATTTTTTATTTTCTTTATTAAAAACAACTCAATTTTCTTGAAAAGTTGAGTGTTTTAAAAATGACAACCAATTAATTCTGCAATTATAACGAGTTAATGAAAATGAAAATGTTTCCATATTTTTTTAAACATATTAATTACTCTCAACAGTTCTCATTAATTATTTTTTTAATCGAAATTATTTTTTCTATGCATAGTAAACTAAACGAAATTAATGAAAATAAATAAAAAATTAATTATTAACAAATACAACTAACCAAAAAAATAAATTTAAAATAAAATAAAAAATCAGATGCTCCATTGGCCGAACTGATTATACGATGTCGACTCATCATTTGGGACGAAGCCCCGATGATGAATAAGTATTGTTTCCAGGCTGTTGACAACACCTTACGAGCCTTAATGCAAGTAGTTGATCCATCGAGGAAAAATCTCCCTTTTGGCGGCAAGTCTGTTGTATTTGGTGGCGATTTCAGACAGATACTCCCTGTTGTGCCTAAAGGCACTCGGAGTGACATAGTGAATGCGACCATCAATTCATCCAGCTTATGGCGGCATTGTACCATTCTGAGACTTACTCAGAACATGAGGCTTCGAAGCCTTGGTGGGGGTGCTGAGTACGATGAGTTGAGGCTTTTCTCGGATTGGCTTGCAAGCATTGGTGACGGTACTGCCGGTGGATCGAACGATGGATGTGCTGAAATTGACATTCCCGACGATATTCTTCTGAAATCACAAGGGGACCCTATCGCGTCTATTGTTGAGAGTACGTACCCAATGTTTAGGAGTTCGGGCGATGATCTTAGCTACCTGAAGGACAGAGCCATACTCGCTCCTACCGTTGATGTTGTTGAGTCTGTCAATGAATACATGAGCTCATTGAACTCCTCCGAGGGAAGAACTTATTTAAGTTCGGACACAGCTTGCAAGTCAGATGCTGGATATGACTATCTTCACGATCTTCATACTCCTGAATTTCTCAATGGGATTAAGTGCTCGGGACTTCCCAATCATAAATTGCACTTGAAGGTTGGCACTCCAGTGATGCTGCTCAGAAACATTGATCACTCCATGGGGTTGTGCAACGGTACTGTTACCTATAAAATTCGATATATTGTCTGTATTTTCTTTGATTTCTGTAAAAATTCGACTGATATGTTTTTTGTTGTCCAAATATTGAGTTTCACAGGTACTCGATTGGTTATTACTAAGCTCAGCAGCCATGTCCTAGAATGCAGAATTTTAACCGGTGCCAGAGCTGGTGATAAGGTTCTGATTCCTAGGCTCACAATCATACCATCCGACTTGAGGGTACCGTTCAAGTTTCAGCGCAGACAGTTCCCTCTCATGGTTTCCTATGCTATGACAATCAATAAGAGTCAAGGGCAATCACTGTCGCACGTCGGCCTATTATTGAAGAGCCCTGTATTTAGTCATGGACAATTATACGTGGCGCTTTCTAGAGTAACGGGTCGGAGTGGTTTAAAGATTCTGATTTGTGCTGATGGAGATGCTGATGAGAAAAAAACCACGAACGTTGTATATAAAGAAGTGTTTAATAATATTTAGTTTTTTCAATGATGATGTTATAATTTTTAATATTAAAACATAATACACTTATTTAACTTTTAATTTGAATATTAAAATGCTTTTTTTCAATGATTATGTTATGATTTTTACTGTCGTTTTTATTTTATACATTTTTTTTTCCTTTATCATATAGCTCTCCGTGCAAATGCACGGGTTGAAACTAGTTTTCCTAAAATCTATATATATATAATTACTAGCTCTTCTGCATTTAATTAAACCTCATAAATTATACCTAGGTGGCATTTTCCCGCCAATTTCCGTTACTTTTCATTTGTTTTTATTTTTTATTTTCTTTATTAAAAACAACTCAATTTTCTTGAAAAGTTGAGTGTTTTAAAAATGACAACCAATTAATTCTGCAATTATAACGAGTTAATGAAAATGAAAATGTTTCCATATTTTTTTAAACATATTAATTACTCTCAACAGTTCTCATTAATTATTTTTTTAATCGAAATTATTTTTTCTATGCATAGTAAACTAAACGAAATTAATGAAAATAAATAAAAAATTAATTATTAACAAATACAACTAACCAAAAAAATAAATTTAAAATAAAATAAAAAATCAGATGCTCCATCTCCGGTCAATTCCTGCAAAAATAACAAAATTAAAGATCAACTAAAACAATTAATTATAATTATCAAATTACAATTCCAAAAGTTGAGATAATTACTGTTTCGAAATCTATATATATATAATTGCTAGCTAATCTCATTTAATAAAACATTTAATAAAAATATTTTCACTTTCCCTCCAAAAGGAGTTACATTTTTTTAATTAATTACTCATTAATCTCACATTTAAGAAGATTTTTTATAGTTAAATTTAATTAATTAATGACTAAATTAAAAAGATTTATTTTAATTAATCCTACATTTATGTTAAGTACAGTATTATCTTAATATCTTATCAGTTTTTCAAAAAAATAGTAACTTTTTTCAATAAAATTTATAAAAATTAGTCAAATGTGCTTATATTCATATAAATCAGAGAAAAATTAAATCTTAGATATATAAAAAGAACATCGTTGAAATAACTTGAATCCGCAAGGGTAATTCTATACTCA